TTCTTTCTAATATTCTCCCAAGAATTACAACTGTCCTGGCTTCTGTGATCTCCACACATTGTGTCCTCAACCAGAAGAGGTTGCTGGGTTCTGTTTGGCTTTTCTCTCTACACTGCAGCCTGGAAATACTCTCCAGACGGTAGGGTTGGAAATCAGAGATCTTCCATTTGTTTCTACTCTCTTGCGGATCACTGTTTTGCATAATTTTTAAAAGTTGTAGCTTTATTGATATAATTTACATATCATAAAATTCGGTGTAATTTCAGTGAATATTAGTCAATTTTAGTAAATTTAGTAAATTCACAGAGTTGTGCAGTCATCACCACTACTTGATTTTATAACATTTTCATAACCGAAAAACCTAGTACACATTAGCAGTCTGTCCTTATTCTCCTTTGCCCCCAACCCTTGGAAATCACCAAACTACCTTTTCTTTCTATGGATTTTCCTATTCTGGAAATTTCATATAAATAGAATAATATAATATGAGGTCCTTTTTGACTGACTTCAATTTTGCCTAATGTTTTCTAGATCTATCCACATTGTAGTTTGAATGTGTACTTCATTCCTTTTTATTGCTGTATAATATTTTATTGTATGGATGTACTACGTTTTATTCATCCATTCATCAGTTGATGGACATTTGAATTGTTTCCACTTTTTGGCTATTGTAAATAGTGCTGCTATGAACATGAATGTGCAAGTTTTTGTGTGGATATATGTTTTCAATTCTTTTGGATATAGACCTAAGAGTGAGATTTCTGGTCATATGGCAAATCTATGTCTAATTTTAGAGAAACTGAAAACTGTTTTCCGAAGTGCTTGCAGAATTTCACATTCCACCAGCAATGTGTTAGGGTTCCAATTTTTCCACATTCTCAGCAGTACTTGTTATCATCTGTCTTTTTTATTTTAGTCATCTTAGTGGATATGGAGTGATATCTCATTGTGGTTTTGATTTGCATTTCCCTAACGACTAATGGATGTTGAGCATCTTTTCATGTATGTATTATCAGCAGACTTAGAGCATGGTCATTAGCTTGGCCATTGAAATCTTTACCCCTTTTCTGGGAATCGCTTTCTCATGTTTTCCTTGAGTGCCCTTGGCATTTTATGATCTTCAGCATCAATCCATATGCCCTGAAAGATCCAGACTGTACTAAATATCTTAACACTGGTGTTCCTCTGCCTTGACCATATGAAACTTAAATTACTGTAGATCATACATATCAACTTAGGGAAAGAGAAGAGTTATTTTTCAATGGTTTTATTAATAAATATTTGAGAATAATCAATTGGCACTCTGCATCCATTCTGACCTTGTGCTAGTGTAGCTTTCTATATTTCAAAAGCTGGAAAGAAGAAAGGAATACTTTTCCCAGACTACTTTGCAGTTCAGGTCCTGGATGTGAATTAGGTTCTACCGAATAGATGCACTTGTGTGAAATTTGGAATATTGAAATGAGGTGGAGGACATCCTGTTTTTTTGCCTTTTATACTATCAGATGTATTCATGAGGCATTTTTTATGCAGTAGAATTTCAGTGTCTGGTCAGCAGGTACATAGATATCGAGAGGCAGTTGCATTGGGAGTGGCAGCTGGAGCCCACTTTTCTGTGCCCAGTCATCATGTTAGTGGGAATCAAGAGGTAGTTTTGATGTTGGTTCCTGATACTTGAGTTGCAGCTACACTGAGATGCTCTTGAATTCAATAGCTCCAATGGCAATCTTCTGATTCCCCTCCTTCCTGACTGCACAAGAGATAGAAGTACTCCATGTGGGTAAGACTATTATTGCTCTTAAGGTTATTTTTGGAGACTTGTCTTAGAGCCTGTGATTCTACAACCCTTTCAATCACTTTGTAAGCACACAATTCCCTGAATTAACTTCATTTCTGCTTAAAATACGACGAGTAGTTTCTTTTTCCTTACTCAGAACCTGGATTAATACAATAGATAATGAAATGTAGACTTAATTTTAGCATAATTATGACACCAGGCCCTTTATGTTCATGTGCATAGACAGAAAACTCCTTCAGTCCCAAATGGAAACATCACAACTGATTTCTAATACAGAGAAAGAATACTTTTATTTTTGAGAAACTTAATTTTCTTTAAGAAGTCTTCTTCCTCTCTCCCTTGTAGCAGAATATGTAATAACGTCCTCTAGTATCTGTTTGTTGACAGCATCGAATTTTCTATCAATTGTCCTTTGAAGAAGAGAAAGATTGATTTTATTTCTAGAGCAAACCCAGATAACCAAAGTATAGGTATTGGCTAAAATAAGTTGATAAAAATTTAAAAATATATTTAAATTTATCATTATCAAAGCCATATTTTATTGTAGAAAATGTGGAAAATACAAGTTAAAAATGGATGTTGAAGAAAGAAAACAATGATCGTTCATAATTCCATCGTCTCTAGGATGGCCACTCTTAATATTTTGGTGTCATTTATTTAAGCTTTTTTAGCCAAGTGTTAAGAATAATGAATTCATAGTAAATTCAGTAATAATGCATTTCCTATTAAGATTATTCTGTTAAAAATGCGTTATCAAATAATTGGAAAGCTCATACAATAGTCCAAGATATCAGCATAGCACAATTTAATTAACCAAGCCCCAATGACTAAAATTTGCATAGTTTCTGTTTCTCTTATGAATGATATCATTATACATAAACGCTTGACAATATTCTTTTAGTATTTCTTTGATCAAACTCCTGGAAGTGAAAGAGTAAGTCATAGGGTACGAATCCTTTTAGTGTTCCTAATATATATTATCAACTTAATTCCTGGAAATCTATGCCAATTTAAATTCCCACTATCTGTAGCATTTGAGGGTATCTCTGTTACCTGCCTTGATACAGCATAAATTATTGTCATTTAAAAACCCAGTTACAATATCTAACAGTATTTTAAAATATAATTTGGGGTGGTATTATTTCCAAAAGCCTTTATATTATGATTCTGTACTGTGTTAAGGACTATTTCCATTCTCAGAATTGTATTAGTTGTAATTAGCTATCTATATCCCATAGGATATAGTGGGATACTTAGATACCACATAAAATCTCTAAATTTCCATTTACAAAGTAAATACTTTTCCTAATGAAAACAAATTAAAGTTTGATTATAGATTTAAAATGTCAAATGAAGTACATATAACTTCTGGAAAAAAGTAAAGCAACAGTGACTTTTTTATTTATGGAGTCCTTAAATATATTTGCTCTTTTCCAACTTATTCACTCTGCCTAAACAATATCCTTTTTATTTTCTGAGTCTCATGAGGGGCAGAGGTGGTTGAGAACAGGAGAAAAGGAGAAATGGAAGAGGTATAACTGTAATATATTCCTGCACCTAAAATTTTCTTGACTTGGAAATATCTCTAGAAATATCCTATCCATTTGAGATTCATTTGGTTTACAAAATTCATCTTCGAAAGTGCAGATGGCCCTGTAGAAGAATGAACTTTATTCACAAATTGAGTGTATGTTTTTTAAGGGACATAATCATGTTTAGCTGAGTGGTCCAGGAGTGGGAATTTTGACTGGGATCACCATAATGGTCTATTCACAGGGCATGGTGTACCTGGGTGACTGGAGGCCAAGGGTGGCGATAGTAGATGTAAGAAATGAGATCAGAAAAAAGAGGGATATTATTGACAAACACAGAACTTTCCTTTTCTGACCTTTGCTTTGGTACCAGAATTTGCAATAGTAGATTGCTGTAGTCAGAGCCAAGTAAAATAATTCAAAACCAGGATGCCCTAGTCTGGTTTCTCTAGGTGTCTCATTATTCCCACCTCTTCCATCCAAGGAGAAGGAACAGAGGGTGAAAGGTAGGACGGTCAAAGGTAGATGCATGCAGATACGATCTGCTTTATTTAAAATCTTCTTCCTCTAAAAACGAGATCTAATGTACAATACATCCAAAAATCATACCCTCCTTTTTTAAAAAACTTTGTCCAGGACGAACTTGATCTTGAGACTTCAGAGAGCTCTGTTTAGATGCTTCCTTAACTCTCTGAGGTGACTTTCTAATTATTGGAACATTTTTGTGCCAACCCCCAAATTTCATTTCTTGGTTCTAAAAATATATATATGTTTTGAAACATGTAGATATAAAAAAGAGAGTAACAACATGTAAACACGCTGCAAAAAGAAAACCACTGTTAAGTTTTGTAACTTCTTAAAACACCACTGTTCAACAGACAATTTTTCATCAAATTATTGACCTCAAATTTCCACCACACCTGATTTATCATTTTTTATTTTAGGGAATATTTTATGAAAGAACCCAGAGAATGAATCATATACTTACTACAAAATTGGCACGCAGTAGGCACACATAAATATTGACTCTGTTTCACCTATCCATTACAATAATAGAGAGGAATGCTTTCAAGTTATAGAAATAAAATATTAGTGAAATACCATAAATATATATTAATTTAATTCTTTATCTCCTTTATATAATTATTCAATATGTGTCATGGTCTCCACAATGTGGTATCGTAGAAAGAGGATGGGTATTGGAATCAAACTTACCTAGTTTGGGGAAGTTATTTAACATTCTGAGTCGTAGTTTTCACAATTCTATCTCAAAGATCTGATACGGAGAACAATGAGGGACATTGTAGATGCTCAATAACTGTTTGTATTCTCATCCCTTCACGTTGTCCCATGGCCATCAAGGGCAGAATTACCTGGCTCCAGAGTGTACGTAATATACCTTAGTTCACTCTGGCTAATATGCTGGTTTTAGAGATGAGGAAGGAGGAATGGTGTCCTGCTCTTAGAAATGGTTGCTTCATTGGGATGGGGAGAGAGACTGAGGCAGAACATCTCATTCCACAGTCAAGTAAAGGAGTGGAAATACCCTTTTTACATTCCTAACTCGGAGTTACCTGATAACTTTCCCTTAAAATCAATCTGAGAATGGTGGAATCATTGAAATGGTGGAAAGCAGAGGCTGATCAAGATACCAGGATCAGGCATCACCGTCATGGTGAGAAGAATGTTTTCCCACAGCCAAATAGTTTACCCAAAGCCTCCTTCAAGTCTCTGTTCCTCAAGCTATAGATAAATGGGTTTAGCATGGGAATAATCACCATATAGAGAATGGCAGCCCTACTTTCCCTCTCTGCAGAGTGAGTTGATGGAGGAAGTAAATACACACCCATTAGAGATCCATAGAAGAGCAGGACCACGGTGAGATGAGAACCACAGGTGGAGAAGGCCTTCCATCGCCCTCCAGGAGATGAGATGCCAAATACAGCCCAGGAAATGCGGACATAAGAGAGGATTATCAGCATGAGTGGAGTGGTGAGGAACATCAGGCCCATAGCGATGATCATCAGCTCATTAACATGGGTATCTGAGCAGGCAAGCTTCAGTAGAGCACTGGGATCACAGTAGAAGTGGGGGATGGCCTTGTGAGCACAGAAGGCCACACGAGTCAGCAAGATGGTGTGCATCAGAGCAGGACAGTTGGTTAGCACCAAGCACATGCCCAACATTAGTGCACAGATCTGGGGACTCATAGCTGTGCTGTAATGGAGGGGCTGGCAGATGGCCACATAGCGGTCATAAGCCATCACCACCAGAAGGCAGTTGTCAAGGCCACCAAACGTAAGGAGGAAATATAGCTGTGCAAGGCACCCAGAATAGGAGATGGCCTGGCTCTTGGTGTGAATGTTGGCCAGCATTTTGGGGATTGAGGCAGAAGTGAAACAGGCATCCGTTAATGATAGGTTGGCCAGAAAAAAGTACATGGGAGTGTGGAGGTGTGGGTTAGAGCTGATGGCCAGGATGATGAGCAGGTTCCCCATCATGGTGACCAGGTACATGCCCAGGAAGATGCCAAATAGGAGAGGCTGCTCCTTTGGCCACTCAGAGAGTCCTAGAAGGAGGAAGTCTGAAACAGCAGTTTGGTTCACTCTGCTTAGTTTTCCCATCCCTTGTGGTTCTTGTTATCTGTGCAGATAAAACCCTTCCATGTGTCAGTATTTAACTATTAAATCAATTCACAGATATGTATCTGTGTAGCTAGAAATATGCTGGCAAAAAGGGAGACTAAATAAACCTTGCCAATGAGAATCTCTGGATCTCATCGAGGATGTAAGACAATACCCATCGGACATTTAGAGAACAGTCAAGGTAATATGCACTCAAATACAAATTGTGCTTTCTATTCTATAATAGGGTCCAGAGAAAAGAGAAGAGTATGACCAGAGAAGTCAGTGTAGGCTACTGGAGGAGATGAGAATTGAGCATATCCTGGAAGGCAAGATTGGAAAAGTCCTTGATGCTTACCGATTGAAAAGGAAATGCATGATCTCCATCATTGCCCCAACCGCAAGACACACACACACACACACACACACACACACACACACACACACACACACGCTAGCCTTCTGTTTTGAGCCTGAAAATGGCTTTGAAGAACAAGATAGCCTCCTCTCTACTTGCCCCCCGAATCCCAGAACTTGACCTCACCTACTCAGCTCCAGTCCCTGTCCTGTTCCCTAACTAGGGGCATAGGATGTGTGGACTGAGGGCAGTGAGTGTCTGTGGTGTCCTATTCTCCCCATCTGCTGTTAGGATCTCCCCTCCACAAACAGGACAGGAGGCCAGCCCTGCCCCTCCATCACCCTCTTTGCTTCGTCCCTGTCCACTCTCCTCTTCCTCCTTTGCATTGGTATTCACTCTGGGAACTGGTATTTTAGTCCCCCTGGTCCCTTGAACATCAACATGATCAGTGCCTATTTGTACAGGCTTGATAAGTGCCAGATACCTTGATGATATCGTTTTATTCTTCACAAGACTATGAAGTAGGTATTGTTATCCTCCATAATTTTGCAAATGGTGAAACGGAGTCTCAGAGATATTTGCTATACTCCGGATCTGATAGCTGGTAAATGAGATTCAAATGCAGATGTGCCTGACTCCGAAGCCTGTGCCTTCACCCCTACACTTGCACTGTATCTCTCTGATATTTATTCTTCATCAGAGGGAGGAAAGGTGAAAGAAATCAGGCTTTCGCTCTCTGGGCTTGAAAATAGCCACTCTGTTCTGCTTTCCTAGGATTTAGAGCAAGCTGGTGTAAGAAGTCATTTCATGTTGGCCTTGTAGAAACTGTGACCTTAGAATTTTTTGTGAATATTTAATCCTCCATTTGTTCTTTGATTCATAGAGAGGCTTCTGATCTTGGGCAGAGACTCAGATCATCTACCTTAGAAACTTTTGCCTAGTCATTGGGCTGGGAAGGGAAGTCTGTGTGTGTGTGTGTGTGTGTGTGTGTGTGTGTTTGTGTGTGTGTGAGGGTGTCCTACCCTTTCCAGATTCTCACCTGTCAGAGTATGGAACAGTTTCAGGCATCTGCACGTTCTCCAATTCTCTCCTCTGGATAAAAGATTCACAAGGAGGAAAAGTCTGAGATCTTTCTGACTCAAGTCAGTAAAGTTGGGGTCTATTGAGTCCAGGGTTCATTAGGATTGCCTGGAGTGTATGACTCATTTTCAGCTTCCCTAGACCTGGGAAGACAGGAGTCTTTCTTAGGGTTTTAAAGGCTCCTAGAACACAATCCCCCAAAGCTCATTAGAGCCAACCTCAGTGTCATTGGTGGCCTGTTCTCCAGCCAGCTCTGGCAGGCTTCTGGGAGAACTGAGGGCATCTCTTTCCCAGGAGTTAAGCTCTCAGAGGTGGGTCTCTGGACTGTGATTCTGAAGCCTGTTGCTAGGATTCAGCACTTCAGCTTTACCAGCAGGCCTCCTGGGAACTCCTGCCTATGCACTGGATAATTCAGTGTCTGTCCCATGCCCTGGGTAAAACTGAATTGAGAGAGATGTCAGAATCAAAATAATAATGTGAATATATCTGCTAGTGATTTCTCTAAACAGAGTAATCCTGATATGAAACAATGCCCTCAAGTCCTAAACTCTCAATTAGATATGGCAGCCTATATAGAGTACACCAGCCATAATGTCTGATATATAGCAGCTGCTAAAAATGTTACATCTCCTGTATTTTTATCAATATTAGTACTTATCAAACACTTTCATACATGATCTTAAGTTGTAATCACAACAAGCTGAGGATGTAGGAACTATCATTATTCCCATTTTACCGATGAGAAAACTGAGGCCCAGTGAGGATAATGACTAGATCAAGGCCATACAATTACTAAATGGAGGGGGTGGTCTCTGTGACTATAGAGTCCATGCTCTTAACCACCATACTTTGTCCCAGTATCATTGATAGTTTAAATCATTAACAATTTCATAGGTACAAAATAATCTCATTGTTCTAACTTGCATGTCTTTGGTTACTGTTCAGATTGAATATTTGTTTCAGCTGATTTTTAACCATGGGTAATTATTTCTCAAACTGTTCATAGAATGTACTTTTTTTTCTATTCGAGTGTTCATGACTTTTTGAATGGATATTAAAGGCAGTAAAACAAAATTAAAATATTTTATTCTGAGCGTTTCTTTTCTGTTCTTGCTGTTTCACTATGTATAATAGTTTTTAAAATTTATTTTTGTAGTCAAAATCAACAGCTGTTTGGCTTTGTGATTTATTTCCATTACTTTTTTTTTTACCTCTTTTTTCCTCCCCAAGGCCCCAGTTCATAGTTGTAAATTCTAGTTATAAGCTCCTCTGGTTATTCTAAGTGAGCCAACACCACAGCGTGGATACTGACTGATGAGTGATGTGGTTCTGCACCCGGGAATGGAACCTGGGCCACCGAAGTGGAGTGTGCTGAACTTTAACCACTAGGCCATCAGGGCTGGCTCCCAATAAAATTTTTGGAAACTGGATGGAAGCTCTGTGCCTATAGACGGAGCTGTCAACATTGAGCTTCACTGTAGGACGATCTGGCTGGGAAACTTTTTTTGAGGAAGATATCACCAATGCCAGTAACTTTAGGTTTTCCTGTTTGGCTAGCCAGACTCCAAAGAAAATTCTTTCAATATTCTGTATTTAAGATAGAGGTCTGGCAGCAAAATCTGGATAAAGGGCTGTGGGTTTCAGCATTCAGCATCTGATGTGCACATATAGTCATGTATTCCCTTGTTTTTTGTACAATTTGCTAATCTGAGCTGTATGTGGCAACTCCCAGTCTCAACCTTCTTCAGAAAGGAAACCTCTCAACTTCTACTGGGATAGGAGAGGGACAGTTTTCCAGTAGTGTGGCATGTAAAGGGAATCTAGGGATCCAACTTCTGAAATAGTTTATTTCTCTTTTACTCCCAGATCCAGAGGTTCCAAAGGCTTCCAGTTTCTGGATCTTTTGAGGATTCTTTGGTGTTGGCAAGATTGATTCTTTTATTTTATCTACTGCCAGTTTAGGATTCAGCTTTTCCATGTCTGTTAACTCAGTTATCACTGTCAAAGGAAAATTGTACCACACAGAGTTAAACAGGCATGGAAGACTTTATTCATGACTATTGCAGTAGGGGAGAGAGATTGAACTCAACTCCACTGAAACAAAAGGCAGGAGTACTTTTAAGAGCTGTGATGAGCTAAAGGAAAAGTACTGGCGAAGGATGACCAGTGTGATAAGGCCATCTACATTTGCTAATCGGTATCCATTGAAGTTAGGTTCCTACCTTCCCACAGAGACTGGGAGATATGTGTGCTTTCTTTTTTTTTTTTTTTATTTTTTTATTTTTTTTTTGAATTTTTTGTTTATTGCAGTAACATTGGTTTATAACATTGTAAAAATTTCAGGTGTACATCATTGTACTTCTATTTCTGCATAGATTACATCATGTTCACCACCAAAATACTAATTACAACCCATCACCACACACGTGTACCCAATTATCCCTTTCACCCTCCTCCCTCCCCCCTTCCCCTCTGGTAACCACCAATCCAATCTCTGTCCCTATGTGTTTGTTTATTGTTGTTATTATCTACTACTTAATGAAGGAAATCATACGGTATTTGACCTTCTCCCTCTGACTTATTTCACTTTGCATCACGCCCTCAATGTCCATCCATGTTGTCACAAATGGCTGGATTTCATCGTTTCTTATGGCTGAGTAGTATTCCATTGTGTATATATACCACAGCTTTTTTATCCATTCGTCCCTTGATGGGCACTTAGGTTGCTTCCAAGTCTTGGCTATCGTGAATAAGGCTGCAATGAACACAGGGGTGCATGTACCTTTGCAAATTGGTGTTTTCAAGTTCTTTGGATAAATACCCAACAGTGGAATAGCTGGATCATATGGTAGTTCTATCGTTGATTTTTTGAGGAATCTCCATACTGTTTTCCATAGTGGCTGCACCAGTCCATACTTCCTAAAGCCATCTATAGATTCAATGCAATCCCTATCAAAGTTCCAACAACATTTTTCACAGAAATAGAACAAAGAATCCTAAAATTTATATGGAACAACAAAAGACCCCGAATAGCTAAAGGAATCCTGAGAAAAAAGAACAAAGCTGGAGGTATCACACTCCCTGATTTCAAAATATGTGTGCTTTCTTGATGATTACATTTCAAAGGGATGGCTCCCAGGTCCTTGAGAAAAACATTCCTAAGTTGTAAAACTGAAAAGAACCTGGAAGAAGACTTACATTTTAAAGAAGTAGAGAAAAAGTTTTCTAAAGTTAATCTCTAAGAAAATGGAGATCAGGGGTCCGTAGTCAGGAAGCAACTGTCTAAAGTTTAGTCAAGTTGAGGGCAATGTTAATACTGTCTTGCTCACCACTCTTTCATCCGTATGGTTTTCCACTTATGAAATTTTGTTACTATTGCTCGCTTTCCATTCTGCTCTCTTCTTGCAGGTTTTATTTCTTTTTAAAAATCACTTTACTTTTGGGGTTGGCCTGGTGGCCTAGAGGTTAAGTTTGTGCACGCTGTCTTTGGCAGCCCAGGGTTCACAGGTTCAGATCCCGGGTGCGGACCTATGCACTGCTTATCTACCCATGCTGTGGCAGGTGTCCCACATAGAAAGGAGAGGAAGATGGGCATGGTTGTTAG